GGCCCCGGGGGCACCTTGCGCGCCGCTGGGGCCGGCGGTGCCCCCGGCACAGCGCAGCCCCGGGGGTGGTGGGGACGGGGCAGCCCCGCTGTGGGGTCACCCGCGAGCGCTGAGGCCTGGACCGGCCCCGAACGGCCCCGAACTGCAGTGGCATGGAGAGTCCGTGTGTGACATCCTCGGAGCGTGTCGGGTGTGGAGAGGCCTCAAATTTCGTCTCGTTCCACCCCTGCCATGGCAGGGACACCTCCCACTGTCCCAGGCTGCTCCCAGCCCTGCCCAGCCTGGCCTTGGGCACTGCCAGGGATCCAGGGGCAGCCACAGCTGCTCTGGGCACCCCAAGCCAGGGCCTGCCCACCCTGCCAGGGAACAATTCCTGCCCAATCTCCCATCCAGCCCTGCCCTGTGGCACTGGCAGCCATTCCCTGGCTCCTGTCCCTGCAGGCCTTGTCCCCAGTCCCTCTGCAGCTCTCCTGGAGCCCCTTCAGGCCCTGCCAGGGGCTCTGAGCTCTGCCTGGAGCCTTCTCTTGTCCAGGGGAGCAGCCCCAGCTCTGCCAGCCTGGCTCAGAGCAGAGGGGCTCCAGCCCTGGCAGCATCTCCGTGGCCTCCTCTGGCCTGGCTGCAGCAGCTCCACGTCCTCCTGCTGCTGTTCCAGGGCTGGGGCAGCTCTGCAGGGGGGGTCTGAGCTGAGCACAGGGGCAGAGGGGCAGAATCCCCCCCTGCCCTGCTGCCCACGCTGGGGGCTCAGCCCAGCACAGGGGGGGTTTCTGGGGCAGTGCCCATGGCCGGGGCAGGCTGAGCCTCTCACCCACCAACACCCCGAGTCCTTCTCCCCAGGGCTGCTCCTGATCTGTTCTTTATCCAGCCTGTTCTTTTGCTTGGGATTGCCTCGACCCATGTGCAGAATGTTGCACTTGAACTTGTCAAAATTCATGATTTGGCACCATCCCTCCTCTCCAGCCTAACCAGGCCCCTGTGGTTCCCCATCCCTGCTCTCCAGTGCGTGACCCCACAACACAGCTCTGTGTCACCAAGTTCCCTGGACCCCACTGCCCGTGTCACCCTTAGAACTCCACACTCCCCTCCCATTTCCCTGTCCCCTTTCCTGCTGCAGCCGGTGCTGGCACTTGGCAGCAGCTGGCAGGTGCTTGGGATCAAAGGTGCCAATGGGACTGTGGAATGTGTGTCTGCCTGGCCCTCTGGGGTGAGGGAGTTTGTATCATTGCCCAGGGTCCTGGGAGCTGCTTCCCCCACCCAGTGGGTTTTGGAGGAGCTGGGATTCAGCGTGAGGGTGGAGGGATGGTGCTTTACCAGTTACTCGAGGTGCAGGAGCAGAGGCACAAACGTGGTTGCAGCAGGTGTGGGCAGGGGTTCACCTCCTCTCCCTGCATCCCAACACAGGGATCTTGGAGGAGCTGGGCTGTTCTCCCTGGCAAAAGCTGCTTCTCCTGCCCTGCCCAGGCAGCTCCAGGCTCATCTGTCAGCAGTGCTGGTTTGGGTTTCCCTGTGTCTGACCCCTCTGCAGCCAGATCTGGGGCCAGCTGTCACCTGCAGCTTTGGGCCATTTGGCTTTTATTTTCTTTTTTTTAAAGTGGAAAGAATTGCCCGCATTTAAATGGGGTCACTGACCAAAGTCACCTCCTGTCATCAGGGATGGATCATCGCAGGGGTGAGCATGTGAGGATGGCCCCTGCCCCAATTCAGCAAGGATGGGGGTGTGGGCTGGCACTGAGGTGCTGGTCCAAGGCACATGGAATCATAAAATCATGGAACACTTTGGGTGGAGAGGACCTTAGACTTGATCTTGTTCCATCCTCATGCTCTGGGGGGGGATATTTCCCACCATCCCAGGCTGCTCCCAGCCCTGCCCAGCCTGGCCTTGGGCACTGCCAGGGATCCAGGGGCAGCCACAGCTGCTCTGGGCACCCCAAGCCAGGGCCTGCCCACCCTGCCAGGGAACAATTCCTGCCCAATCTCCCATCCAGCCCTGCCCTGTGGCACTGGCAGCCATTCCCTGGCTCCTGTCCCTGCAGGCCTTGTCCCCAGTCCCTCTGCAGCCCTGGGTGAAGGAAGGCAAGCATTGCCTCGCCACTGCTGCTCTGGAAAAAGGAGCCATTCACCCCCTTCTGCTGCATTTCCTCTGGGCTCAGAGGCCCTCGGGACTGGTGTCACCCCCCAGCACCCCCAGCCCTGTCACTCCCCCCACTGTGAGGCCTCCTGCCAACATCATCCCTCTCCTGCTGCTCCCCCTCCGCCTTCCGCTCCCGGGGATGACAGGGAGAAGATGAAACATTTCCCTAACACAATTATATTCTAATTTTGCATCTGTGGCCGTAATTTCCCTGTCAACAATTGTAATTAAACCTTTGAGCTTCGCTCTGCTGCTGGTGGTGGCTCAGCAAAGCCAAGTGATGGAGGGGAGGGATGGGACGGGATGGGACGGGATGGGATGGGATGGGATGGGCCAGGTCTCTCTGGTTTTCCACAGGCATTTGTGGCCAGGACAGTGTGAGAATGAAAGCAGTGAGGAGATTTTCCTGCTCTGAGCTGTTTTGGTCACTTGGTCTATGTTGAAAATAGAATTTTTGTTTAACAGAATGGTTGGGCTTGGAGGGGACCTCTCCAGACCATGCAGTTCAAGTCCCTGCCAGGGAAGGGTCACCCAGAGCAGGTGACACAGGAACACATCCAGGTGGGCTTTGGAGTCTCCCTCTCTTGGGCAGAGACTCCACAGCCTCTTTGTGCAGCCTGTTCCAGGGCTCTGCTGCCCTCATGGAAAGAAGTTCTTCCTCATGTTGATGTAGGACTTCTGGTGGTTTAGTTTATGACCTTTGTCCTGTTCCTGGGCACCAGAACAGTGTCTGGCACCATCCTCTGACACCCCTTGGAGATGCTTGTATGGATTGGTGAGATCCCCTCTCAGTCTTCTCTGGATTAACCAAGCCCAGCTCCCACAGTCTCTCCTCACCAGAGAAGCTCCAGACCCCAAATCATCTTTGGGGCCTCCACTGGACTCTCCCCAGCAGCTCCTTGTCCTTCTTGTCCCAGAGCTGGACACAGCCCCCCAGCAGAGGGGCAGGATCCCTCCCTGCCCCGCTGGCCACGCTCCCCCCGCTGCCCCCAGGGTCCCCCGGCCCCAGGACACTCTGCTGGCTCAGGGACAGTTTGCCATCCCCCAGCACCCCCAGGTCCTTCTCTGCAGAGCTGCTCTCAGCGGGTCACCCCCAGCCCGTGCTGGGTTGTTCCTCCCGGGTGCAGGACCCTACACCTGCCCTTGTTGAAGCCCCTTAGGTTTGTCCCCACCCAGCTCTGCAGCCTGTAATTAATTAGTTTATAATTAATAATGCCTCCTTCCTGGTGGGTGGCAGCATCATGGCAAAAAGTGTGTCCCCAGGCCTGCTTGTGGGGAACAGGAAGGTTTAAAACTCCTCTGACATTGTGGGGTTTTTTCCTGAAGCTGAGCAGTTCCCCCTTGCAGTTCACAGCGTGGCCCCCTCAGTTTCCCATTTCAGGCTATTTTGGTCGGGCAGGAGGAAGCAGAGGGGCTGAGGGGATGCACCAAGGGGCACCACGGGGATGCTCTGCAGACACGTCCACCCAGAGGTGACACCAGAGGGGCTCCGGTGACATTCCCCACCTGGAGAAGTGCCGGAGCCTCAGGCTCAGGGGAAGCTTCAACATCCCCTGGGCACCTCGTGAGGTGGGTAGGGGCACAAAACACAGCATGGGCAACACAGAACCACAGAATCCTGGGACCTTCTGAGTGGGAAGGTACCCACAAGGATCATCAGAGCCCAGCTCCTGGCCCTGCACAGGGCAGCCCCCAGAACTGTCAAGATTCTCTCAAGAACCCCAAGAACAGCTTGAGTTCTCATTGTTTCCATCCCCTGGACCTTTGGGATGGGGGTAGCAGTTTTCACCAACTTCACAGTTGGTTGTGCTGATAGCACACAGCTGATAAATAAGAAAATAAAGCTGAGGTTGTGTCCAAGTGCTGGGAGCTGTGGCTGAAATGAAGCAGTTTCCCAGCGGCTCTTGCAATGCTCAGAGCTGGAAATGCCAGGGAAGAAAAGTGGAGTGGAGGCTCCAAAGGCAGCACTGTCCAAAGGAGGGCATGGAGAGCTTCCCTCACAGGCAGGTCATCCTCCACAATGTCATCCTCAGCTCTGCTGCACAGAGCAGCTGTGGCTGCCCCTGCATCCCTGGCAGTGCCCAAGGCCAGGCTGGACAGGGCTGGGAGCAGCCTGGGACAGTGGGAGGTGTCCCTGCCCATGGCTGGATGGGCTTTAGGGTTCCTCCCAACCCAAACCATTCCATGACTCTGTGATCTACCCTGGAAGAGGAGCAGTTCCTCTGGCTGGGCTTTTACCTCTGTCCCTGGTCACGGTGCCTCAGTTTCCCCTCTGTGTGATGACATCAGGGCCACACTCTGCTCTCATGGAGCCCTTGGAGACCATTGTAGGTGCCGTTGGGTGTGAGCCCAGCATCCCTGGGCAGAGGAGCCCTGAACAAGCCTCAGGCAGAGCCTGCCTGACCCAGGGGCAGGTGAGGTGTCCTGGCCCCATTCCCAGAGCCAAAAACCAGCCAAGGTCACTGAGATCAGCAAGGAGTTGCAGGTCCCATTTGTGTCTGCAGAGCTGCTGGTGCAGAAGGAAAGGCTGAGACCTGAGAAGGGATGGATGGATGGATGGATGGATGGATGGATGGATGGATGGATGGACGGATGGATTGTTCAAAGGCAGCTTTGGTGCAAGTTGTTCTGCCTCTGACCCCCCACCCAGGCCCATCGGTGTCCCCAGGGCACATTCCAGGGGTTCATGAGGGTCTGGGGAAGGCTTGGTCAGTCCTTGGCCAGGCGAGCTTGGGAACGCTGAGCTGGTCCAGCCTCTGTGCAGTGGAAATGGGTGGGGGAGGCTCTGTCCCCAGAGGGAGCTGTGGGACACCAGCAACTGCCCTCAGATCCTCCCACCCCCTCTTACAAAACTAGAAATTAATAAAGTACAATTCAGTGCTGGGCAACAAAATAGGCTTTAGAAAAAAATTAGATATGTACTGGAGAAAAGTCCCCATTTCCCTGGAATTTCCTTCGAGCTGGGCTGGGTTTCCACCCAGTGATTCCCTGGCTGTGGTATTTCCCCCTCCAGGGACCCAGACCCTTTTTCCTTCTGGTAGTGGCTGGTGACGCTGTGACAGCCACCCACAGCCAAGGACCTGGTGCCTGGCCCAGAGGAGATGGACAGACCAGGAGTGCCCAGCGAGGCCGGTGGCTGCACTGAGCCCCCTCAGCGTGGGACACGAGAGGCACAAGCAGGCGTGTGTCCCACCCAGAGCCGAGGTGTGGCAGCCCCATCCTGCCCCCGGCTCCCTCCCAGCCCGCTCAGGGGTGGGACAGAGCGGGGCTGCGGGCACTGCTGGCTGCAGGTGCCCGTCCTGGAATGGCCAGTGTCCGGCCGGGCTGGCCATTGGCAGGGGCCGGTGGGAGCTCGGGGCTCCTCGCTGGATGCCGAGGACTTTAAGGAGCAGGTTTGAGTTCATATTTGCATTTAGTCACAGTGTGAGTCAGACATTCCAGCCCCGGCTGCCGAAATGCCTCAGCTCTGACTTCTGATTTCCCACTGCAGCCTTGGGTTGGTTTTTGATTTTCTTTTTGTTTCGTTTTTTTTTTAAATTTTTCCTCCTCTTTTCTCTTTCCCTTTCCCTTTCTCTTCTTTTTCTTCCCTTTCTCTGTCCTTTCTGGCCAGCTCCAGTTCAGAGGCAGGTCACTGGCACAGGGCACAGGTGGATGGGGCAGAGGGATGGGCAGGGACATCCCACGGAGTTTATTCTTCCCTGGAGCAGTGGGAAGCCAAGGCAGAGTTAAACCCTGCCAGGCGGAGGGGGCTGAGCCAGGAGCCCCCACATCCCTCCAGCAGCGGTGGGGGGGCACGGGGGTGGCACTGAGGGCACCAGCAGCTTTTGGCTGCCCTGGCCATTGTGGAGAGGTCCCAGGGCAGAGCGAAACTTGGGGGGAGGAGTGGGAGGAAATGGAACAAAGTGGCAGGACAAGCCCTGCAGACCCTCCCGTCTGCTTCGGGGTACGTGTCAGGCTTGTGCAGGTTTGTTTGTCCTCAGCAAAACACCAGTTCTTGATTTGTAAAGTGGCACAGGGCGGTGGCACAGGGCAGTGGCACAGGGTGGGGTCCCAGGGCAGAGTGAAACTGGGGGGGAGGAGTGGGAGGAAATGGAACAAAGTGGCAGGACAAGCCCTGCAGACCCTCCCGTCTGCTTCGGGGTACGTGTCAGGCTTGTGCAGGTTTGTTTGTCCTCAGCAAAACACCAGTTCTTGATTTGTAAAGTTTTTAATTAGAGCTGACCTGGAGCTCAGCAGGCTCGGAGCAGGAGCTGCCTCCCCCTTGTGTCCCCCCCTTGCTGTCCCCCTCCCACGGAGACATCAAAGCCCAGACGTGGGGGCTGCGGGACCCCCGCACCGGGGGCTGGGGGCAGGAGCCGTGCCGAGCTCCTGGCCAGAAAGGCGATTTTGTTTTTGGTTTCCTGGATGATGCATTCCACATGGCGTTGCATCACGCACAGCTGTTACATCACTTTAGCCAGGAAATTTAAAACAAGTGGCCTGGGCTGGAAATGGTGGTTTAATTATTATTTATGGATAACAACAACAACAGCGAGAGAGAAGAAAGGCCTCAAAACCCTTTTCTTCTTTTTTTAATTTTTTTTTCCTCTTTCTAAGGCCCGCTCATCTCTCACATTACAGCGACTTTGTCCCCAGCTCCCTCCCAGCCCCTGCGCAGGGGAGCAGCCCCCGGGATGGGCTCCCAGCAGGGGCTGCTTTGGCCACACTGTGCCCCTTCCCCCGAGGGTGTCCCTCCTTCCTGGCCACCCCCGCAGAGCTGGGACACCCTCCTGGCACCACCTAAGGGTGACCCAGCAGGGGCCACAGCAGCTCCCTCGGAGCACCCCTGGCTCCACGTGCCGCCCTCCCTTCGGGTGCCGTTTGTCACCAGCAGCCCCCGCCACTGCTCCGAGCCTGCCAGCTGAGTTGTGACAGTCGCTGTCCCCCGTGGGACACTCTGGAGGCACATGACAGATCCAGTGCATCCCTGCCTGCCGGGGCTGCCCCACAGGGCATCTGAGGCACGTTGGTGACAGGGATGGTTCCCTCTCTCCTTCCCTTTCACTCCTTTCCTTCCAGCTGTGGGGACACAAGTGATGTTGAGAGCATTGTCATCCTCATTGTCCTTCCTGCCAGGAGGCATCAGGGACCCTCTTCTTCCTCTCTTCCTGTGGGCACAGCATAGAGCAGGGACACCAGCGGCTCTGCTCCCCCACTGCCACCACCTGGGGTGTCCCTGTCACCGGGCAGGACACCCCCCTCCATCGGGCTCTGCTCCTGCCAGAGTGACTGATGGCTGCGCATGGCCAGGGACACGAGTGTCACCAGGGCCACGTATGTCCCCGGGGCCACGTGTGTCCCCGGGGTCATGTGTGTCCCCAGGGACACGAGTGTCACCAGGGCCACGTATGTCCCCGGGGCCACGTGTGTCCCCGGGGCCATGTGTGTCACCAGGGCCACTGTGCTCCCAGGGCCATGTGTGTCCCTGGGGTCATGTGTGTCCCCAGGGACACGAGTGTCCCCAGGGCCATGTGTGTCCCTGGGGTCATGCGTGTCCCCAGGGACACGAGTGTCCCCAGGGCCACTGTGCTCCCAGGGCCATGTGTGTCCCTGGGGTCATGTGTGTCCCCAGGACCACGAGTGTCCCCAGGGCCACTGTGCTCCCAGGGCCATGTGTGTCCCCAAGGCCCTGGGGCTGAGGAGGGGACAGCCCTGGTGTGAACTGCCCAGGGGGTTTGCACAGCCCCCAGCCCCTTTTGCAGCTGGGGAGCCAAGGCAAGGACAGTGGGACGGGCACTGAACATCCCCAGGCACCTGCCAGGCAGGGCCACGTCCCCTTCTGGGGGATGGAGGGGACACAGTGAGGGGACAGGCCTGGAACCCTCCCTTGGGACCTGCAGGAGGAACCCAGCCCCAGCCCGGGCAGAGCTGGGATGGAAACTCCTCCATCCCACACAGAGAGCCTCGGGCAGCTCGTTGGAAACTTCTCAGGGGAATTCTGAGTGCGAGCCCCGTGTTTAGTGTGGAGTGTTGAAAAATGCAGCAGTGCTCCTTTGCTACACTGCTGCCGTGACAAAACCCCTGCAGCCACCTCCCACGGCCACCATGGTGCTCCTCAGACCCACCACGATCATCCCTCATCCCTTCATCTGCTGATGAAGAACTGGAGAGCGCACCCCAGCCCTGAGGACTCAAAGAAAGTGGTCCCCAAATTGTCATGCTCAGATGTTCTGGTTGTACAGAATCCCACTCTGGGTGACTATGGGAAATAAATTTGCGGAGAATTTTAAAAGTTTGATTTTTAAAAAAAAAATTAATATTTTATTTCTCTACCAATCCATCTCCCACAGGTGGCCAAGATGAGGACCAGGTCCCTCTGCTCTATTTTCCACGAGCAGTGGGATATCATCCCACACAGGCACAGCAGAGCCTGGGGATCCTTGAGGACCTGCTTTGTGAGCTCGATCCTGCCCGGGGGGCTTGGCAAACAGCTTTAAAATCGACAAAAAATGAGCTGGGCTGATGAGAGCGCCCTGGGAATGGTGTGGAGGAGGAGGAGGAGGAAACGGGGCATCCCCGGCCCCAGGTGGGGTCCCCCGGCGCCGCTGCAGCCCAAGATAGAATCCGCCCACGGGCAGGAAACCCTCAGGGCTGTTCACGGGCGGGGAAATCTCCTCTGAATGGAAAGGAAAGGCGCCCTCGCCCCCAGAAACCATCTCAGCGCCACCCCCGAGGCCGGGGGATCTCCAGGGCTGCCCCGCTGGGACCGTGCTGCCCCAGCAGGGCGTGGGGCGAAGGCTGCCTGAGGCAGAGCGTGATGGGAGAAACCAAAACAGGGTTGGGAGAACCTGCTGGGGGAGCCTGGTCCGGGCACAGGCTCTGGAAAAAGGGATGGGGACAGCGGGAAGGAGAGGAAGGGGGGGAGGGAGAAGGAAAGTGAGAGGTGGAGCAAAGGAGATGGCTGTCAAAGGAGTTAGACATGGAGCAGGGGGCAGGGACCGGAGCCTTGCCCACAGGGGCTGTCCAAGATGCCAAATGGGGCATCCAGCAGGGACTGAGGCAGCTGTCAAACCTGAGGGTAAATTTTGCCCATGGACAGGAAGGGGACAGCACCCAGGCCTGCCCACATGTTCCCTGCCAGCTGGACAAGTCCCAAAGCAGGGATGGGTGCCCCACAGGAGAAGGCACAGGAGAGTTTTTGCCTGGCTGAGTTAGAGTTTTGGACGTCACTGGGATGTGAACGTGCTGTTCTTGGGGTACTTTTCCTGGTTTTTCAAGCTAAAACAGCTCAGTGAATCCATCATTCCCGTGGGAGAGGATCAGGAAGTTTCACCCTGCAAAGGTGCCCTGAAGTGGAGCTGATCCAAGCCCTGGGACCCCGGGACCACGGTGGCCTTTGTGCCTTTGCTGCAGGGGGAAGGAGGGGACACCGTGGTGCCTCTGGGACCCAACGGGGGATTCCCCCTCCCTCCCCAGATTTCTTCACTCAGTGGGTTTTGTGATCTGATGTCAGGTTTCAGCTTCATGTGAGGAGTAATAGAAACCACACAGTGAGGTGAGTCCCTGCTCCAGGCTCTGTTCCCAATCCGTGGGAGAGGCTCACCAGACCCCAGGGACAGCTCTGCTGCAGCAGGAGAGGCTCAGCCAGGACAGGGGAGCCCCGTGTTCCATCTCAGCCCCGTGTTCCCCATTTCCCATCTCAGCCCCATTTCCCATCTCAGCCCCATGTCCCATCTCAGCCCCATGTCCCATCTCAGCCCCATGTCCCATCTCAGCCCCATGTCCCATCTCAGCCCCATTTCCCATCTCACTCCATTTTCCATTTCAGCCCTGTGTTCCATCTCAGCCCCATGTTCCATCTCAGCCCCATTTCCCATTTCAGCCCCATTTCCCATCTCAGCCCCATGTTCCATCTCAGCCCCATGTCCCATCTCAGCCCCATTTCCCATCTCAGCCCCATTTTCCATCCTCCTTTCTCGTGGTCTCAGCCCAGTGGTGTGTGGGCAGTGCCTGCCCTTTCTGCTGAATCTTCCCACTGCTGGGTCCAGCCCTGCTGGCTTTGGGAACATCCCCTGGCTCTGTCCTGTTCCACACTGTTTCCCCATCTCAGCCCCATTTCCCATCTCAGCCCCATTTCCCATCTCACTCCATGTCCCATCTCAGCCCCATGTCCCATTTCAGCCCCATGTCCCATTTCAGCCCCATGTTCCATCTCAGCCCCATGTCCCATCTCAGCCCCATTTCCCATCTCAGCCCCGTTTTCCATCCTCCTTTCTCGTGGTCTCAGCCCAGGGGTGTGTGGGCAGTGCCTGCCCTTTCTGCTGAATCTTCCCACTGCTGGGTCCAGCCCTGCTGGCTTTGGGAACATCCCCTGTCTCTGTCCTGTTCCACACTGCACCAAGTCCTTGTCCCACTGTGTGTGACTCTGGAATATCCTGGAGTATCCTGGGTTAGAAGGAGCCCACAGGGATCGTGCACAGCCACCCCAACAGCCCCACCCTGAGCAGCCCTGGCAGCGCTGTCCAAACGCTCCTGGAGCTCTGGCAGCCTTGGGGCCGGGACCATTCCCTGGGCAGTGCCAGCACCCTCGGGGGGAGGAACCTTCAGTGCTGAAAACTCCCCGTGTGTGAGCCCTGAGTGACCTAAATTCAAGGCTCATCTCCCCAGTGAGGGGCTCGGGGCTTCTCTGGGGACACAACCCCACGTCCCCCCTTAGGACAGCCCCAAAGCAGCCCCTGCCCGGGCAGGGTGGGCACAGGCTGCTGTGGTGTTGCAGCCCCTGCTCAGCCCAGCTGCAGCTGTGGCTGTGCCGTGGCCGGGGCTGGGCTCTCACTTCCCCAGGCTGAGATGCTGCGTGGGGGAGCCAAGCCCGGCACGACTGGGAAGCCAAGGCAGAGTTAAACCCTGCCAGGCGGAGGGGGCTGAGCCAGGAGCCCCCACATCCCTCCAGCAGCGGTGGGGGGGCACGGGGGTGGCACTGAGGGCACCAGCAGCTTTTGGCTGCCCTGGCCATTGTGGAGAGGTCCCAGGGCAGAGTGAAACTGGTGGGGAGGAGTGGGAGGAAATGGAACAAAGTGGCAGGACAAGCCCTGCAGACCCTCCCGTCTGCTTCGGGGTACGTGTCAGGCTTGTGCAGGTTTGTTTGTCCTCAGCAAAACACCAGTTCTTGATTTGTAAAGTGGCACAGGGCGGTGGCACAGGGCAGTGGCACAGGGTGGCGGCATAGGGAGATGGCACAAGGATGGTAGCTCAGGGCAGTGGCACAGGGCAGTGGCACAGGTGCGGGCACCAGCCTGGCCCTGGATTCCTGCTCCATGGCTGAACCTGTCGAGTCCTGTGGGAACTGGTAAAGGTAGGATTTTTAGAAAGCTGAAAAAAACAAACCTTAAAAACAAAAACAAAACAAAACAAAACAAAACAAAACAAAAATCAAAACAAAACAAAAAACCCCAAAACCCTAACTAGAACTACAAAATCTAAAAATACAAAAAAATTACAACGATATAACAAACAAAAATTACAACAGAACTGAAAAACTAACTACAACTGCAAAATCTAAAAATAAAAAAATACAATAATATAACAAATAAAAACATTGAACAATATGTTTTAAAATTGACTGAAATAAAGCTTAAAACGACATAAAAATATGCTTAAGAAATTAATTAAATTATTTAAACTAAATAATAACATATTATATATATTATTAATTTAAAACCCCAAACATTATACAAAATAAATATACATATACTTTTAATAATTAACGAAAAAATATATGAAATTTAACAATGCATATTAACTAAATAGTAAATAATAACAATCCATTTAAAAGTTTTTAAAACACTCTATAACAAAAAAACCTTTAACTACCACTAACTGTACACAAACTTTACCATCTCCCTACTCTCTTAACCATATAATAAACCTATTATTTTTGACCACAAATAAAACTCAAAAAGCCTACCCCAACAATCCCACCCCATGGAAATGAAACAACCCCAGCAGCCCGGGTCCCTCCCTGGCGCTGCCCGGGGCGCTGCCCCTGCCCTGCCCTGGGGGTGTGGGACGGGGGGCACGGGGGGCCCTGGGTGGGCTCAGGGATGCCAAAGGAGGAAGAGGAGGAGGCTGAAGAGAGGCTCAGCCCTGGGCACGCAGCACAGCCCAGTGCCCCCAGCTGAGCCCAGGAGTTCGTCACTGGGGGTCAGCAGGTGTTGGATTCAGTTTGTTCTAAATCTTTCTACAAGGTATCTTTCAGAATTCTATTTTTTCTAAAATATCTAATCTTTGTTATGAAACCATATTTTAAATCTTATTTCTATTTCTATTTTTCTCTTGACAATATCTATCTTATTCCATAATATTTCTAAACCAACATTCCTTATCTTAATATTTACATATAAATAATATATATAATTTATATTATATAAATATATATTATTTATAATATTTATTATTTATAATACATTATAATATATACATTATCTATTTTTAATATATTTATATATTAAAATATATATTTTATATATGTATTTTATATATTTATATATTTATTATAATTATTATATATTCAAAATATGTATATTTATTTATATAGAATTTTATATCCTCCTCTTATACATAATTTATTATGTATTATTCATAAAACCCCAAACATTATATAAAACAAATATGCATGTAGTTGTAATAATTGGCTAAACAAATTATCTGTAAACTTTAAGAACATACTATTCTATTAACTAAAAAGTTTTTAAAATACTTTGTAACAAAAAAAATGTTTTGAGGTCTCCCAAAAGCTGCAGCTCAAGCAGTCAGTTTTCAAATAAAACTACAGTTTTATTTGAAATTGGGAGTTCAAGGAAGAAAAAAGTGCACAACATACTATTGACTAAAACGTTTTTAAAATACTTTGTAACAAAAAAAAAAATGTTTTGAGGTCTCCCAAAAGCTGCAGCTCAAGCAGTCAGGGGGTTTCACTACAGTTTTATTTGAAATTGGGAGTTCAAGGAAGAAAAAAGTGCATTTGGAGGTGGGAGGGTGGGGGCAGAAAGGAGACTCTGGCTGCCCCGCCTGTGAGACCCAGCCCTGGCAGTCCTGGGCTGCCCCTGGAGCTGCTTCTCACGGCTGGCACCACTGGAGAGCCCTGGGGACAGAGCTGCCAGCCCTGCCAGCCCCGGAGGTGCCAGGGGTGCCATGGCACGGGGGAGCCAGGGCAGGCTGGGAGCTGCCCTGCCAGCCCTCAGCCCCTCGCTGAAACCCCGAAATACAAAAATCCTGCCTGCCCCAGGAGCTCCCCTCTCCCACAGAGCATCTCTCTCAGATTTGGAGCAAAATCAGGCAAAAAGCAGCTTGGAACCCCCTGGCCGTGCCATCAGCTCTGCT